CCAAATGTTATCCAGACATTCTGGACTTACTCTCTACACGTTTCACTTACATGCCAAAGGAAGAAGCCTTCAAGGGAGCAGCAAAAAAAAAAAAAAAAAAAAAGACCCTCATATGCTTGGGCATTGTGCCCTCCAATTTCTCCACATGCACTCATGTACATGCACATTTCTTCACTTTCACTTTTTCTCTATAAAAACCAACAGTACAGGGATCATTTCTTTGTACCATTCCATTGTAGAGTATAGTTGCAGCTGGTCTTCTTCATTTGAGGGCCTCAAAAGGGGCTTATTGCTTTATTTTTGGCTTAAAAACCTGTGGAACTGCATTTGGGAAACTCTCATCTACAAGATCATAGGGCATATCAGCCTTGCCAGGTGTCCCTGTTGTGAATATGGGCAGGAACAGATGCATAGTCTTCTACCTGACCCCCAACGTTCGGTGAATGTGACTTTTGTATTTCCCTGCTCTGAGTTGATAGAAGCCGTATCTCAAGTCATTGTGGCAACGGCGTATGCAAAACGTTGCAGTAAATTTTGCTTAAAGTGGTCACTAGTGTGAAACTAGAGGGTCCAATTCAGAGAAAATGTGTAGATATAGTGGAAAAAGTAAAACAAAGTCATAAGTTCCAGCATTTCTCAGAGGAGGTCCCTTCATATGCTGTTGCCAATAAATGTCAACCAAAGGCAAAGGTGAGACAAACCCTGTTGAAACATTCATATCGATTTCCAGGCAAGCTAAACACATTTTGATAATGAATTTGGGGCAGATTTCCCCTAGCTCCAGTTGAGCCCAAATGTTTAAAGTGTTTACTGGATCATTTATTGGAGTGACAACTGCACAGGAGAACAAATGAAATGGACGAATGTGGTTACAAGCCACTTTAGACCTGAAATGGTTATTATCTTGCTGTATGTCTGTTTTGTGTGTGTGTGTGTGTGTGTGTGTGTCTGTGCACGCACATGCATTTAGGGCTGAGGATTTGGAAATAACTAATCCTTTGTAAAGAATTAGGATTTGCCAATTAGGTGCTGTATAAAGTCAGATGCTTTCTGATGCTTTTTCCCCCTTCCTGTTGGTTAGTGGGCTCTGTTTATATTTTGACGTCCTTTCCCCACTGTTCAGAGAAGAGTATTCTCTCCCTTTCTGCGCTGCGGCATCTAAGTAGGTTTATCCAATATGTGAAGCTATCTGAAAGATGGATCTTAGATGAAGAAAATTTATTAATATGTTACAAGAAAGAGGAGGAGGCTGTAATGCAGGTGTCATTCAGATAACCGTCACTTTGAGGAGTTAATATCTGTATCTGCATTTCATTCTAATTGATGGGTCTGTCTGCTGTTTGAAAAGCGTTAAATTGCCACTGCTTATGTGATGGAATCTCTATTGTCGAAGTATGAATGAGAACGAAGTCTCATCCCTGAAGTCAGTTTAGATATGATTTGTAGAGAATTGACTTTGAATGTTTAGATTAGAGGTCAGAGTTCTACTTTGAGGGCATGTCGGTTAAGGTAGAAATAGGCTGAAAGGGCCACCCCTTACACTTTGCCATTAAAGAAACCATTTTTGCTAAGAATACCAACTGAGCCATGATTTTGATTCATTTAAAATGGGAGGCCGATGAAAGAAGGAGAAAAAAAATATATAAACCCACAAAATCAGATCTGTAGAATAAATTCCAGGTAGATTGATCAGTCAGGAAGAACTAGATATTTATATGCAGATGAAAAATAAAACATTATATCCAGAAGGAAGCATTTCATTGAGGAATTGAAGAGAAAGGAATGTCACCCTGAAATTTCTGACATAAGCCACTGTTTCTTACTTTGTCAATGCCCTAATAGAATGTATGTGTTTTATTTCTCTTATTATCAGTACAGTTCTCCTCCTCCTCCTCCTCCTCCTCCTCCTCCTCCCTCGTTTCTTTTCAAAAACAGAGTGCCAAGCAAAAAATAATGATTCCATGATTGCACAGTCCCTACTTTCAGGTTGACCACTGCTAGTGGCATCATTTAGTGACTTTGACTGATGCCCCAAAAGCTGATCAGGAATAGATCTGATTAGATATGAGACAGCAGGACATCCCAGGGCTGTAAGAATTTGGAAAAACTGGGACTGGGATATTGGAGAAGGATTCTGGAAGAAGGCAGTTGCAAACTGCTTCAATTCTGCTGCCAAGAACATTTCATGGATATGTTCAGGTATTCACAAGGAACCAAACTCGTTTCAAAGGCGCATTTCTCGTTTCATTCACAAGCTCACAATTTAAATCCTGTGAGACCCAAGGTAATGGATTGAGAAGGAAAGAAAAAAAAAGTTGATTCAGTAATTGAGATAAATAGATGGAATTACATTGTTGGCCAGAATAATAGCAGATGGGAACTAGTTGATATCTGAATTAGGAAATGGTTAGAATAAAGTAATTTGGTTTTCCAGATATATACATCATAAATTAAATGTTTGGCAATTCTGTAAAAATGAAATCTGTTCATTTAGGAAAGGATCCTGATACTTCCATATCTCTTAGTAATTTTGGGCTTATATCCCACCAGCACATTAAGGAACATTTAAATAATTGGTTACATTCACATTCCATATATGAAAGGAAATATATGTCATTGACATTTAGAATTTTAGAGTGGGACGGGTCAGTTTAGGCCACCTATTCTAAGAGTCTGTTCCATGCAGGAATCCAAATTATTATCATCTCAGCAAATGACTGTGCAAACACTCTGCTTAAACACATTCACTTAAGGGAGGCCAGCAAATCTCTGAGTAATTGATATCACCATTTAACGTATTTATATT